TTGTTCTGGATCACGAACTCGATGTGGGCGCCGCTTGAACGGAGTTCGTTTAGATGATTTTGGATAAAGGCAAATGGATCGAAAGCGAAAGGGTCGCCTCGGGCTGACCGGGTCGACCCGAATAGGCTAGGGTTATGAAGGTCCATAGAAGCAGGGGACGATGAAGACGTCGTTGTGGAAGAAGACGCGGAAGGGAAAAGTAGCGGGAGGAAGGTGGAGAAAGGATCCGATAACGATAAATAGGGGTCGGAGAATGGATTTAGGTTTGGATTCGGGCTCTGGAAGGCGGAGTCTTGATTAGGGTTAGGGTTTTCGTATTCTTCGAGGAACCCCTCGTTGCATATGGGACAAGAAGGGTCAGAGGAAGGGGAGATTGTTACGCTGACGGTACGATTGCATTGGTAGCAAAAGAAATGCTTACTGGTTACGCCGACAGTGTTACCGCCGCCGTTGACGTTCCCGTCGAACGACATGTTTAACGTCGGGGATTGTTTCAACGGGAGAACCAGACAGAGAAATGAAATTTGATTTGAGGCTTTGTTTTCTTTATTCAAGAAAATACATCTAATGGAGAGAGATTTTCAATTTAATTTTTTTAGAGGCTTCTAGAAGGTCTACTGACTTTAATTAAGTAATTTCTTTTAACATAATTAAAGGGCTTTTGAAGTCAATAATAATAATAAAAAAAATTAAAGGGCTTTCAGTTTTGTAGTTAACGTTTAATTTTGCACTTCCCTTGTTCAGCCAGATTTAATGGACCTTTTTATTACTTGGAGAATTATGGCAACCTTCATCATGACAGCTTTAAGGTGGAATTTGATATCAAGAAAGTGATCAATTTTTTTAGGAATTTAATTAGTGGGAAATGCTTTGTTCCGTTTGGTAGGTCAAGTTGATGAGAATGTAACTCTATTTTGAGTATACAATTGTCATAGTGGGAGGGAAGGGAAGGTGATTCTTTCTTATACGTAAGGGAACGTAAAATGAGATAAAAAGGAAAAAATATCACCTTGCGTTGAACTG